TAAGTTTTCTCTCTGGGTCAGAGAAAAAAGTCCAGGGGCTCAGAGACCTCTCCCTGTTGGTGCTGGTGGCTCCCCCAGCGCTCCCCTTCTGCCTGGGCTGCTCGCATTGTGCCCACATGCAGCTCCTTGGCTTTGGGGCTGCAGCAGGGGAAAAGGATTCTCCAGGATCCAGCGGTGCCTTGGCTGCTGCGGGGAGCCCAGGGCACGGCAGGGCAGCACCCGGGGCTGCAGCAACAACCGGAGACGCGCTGGAGCAGATGGAGAGGTTTTTCTGTGGATGCTGAGCGCGTTTTGAAGTGGCTTTTGTGCAGTGCATTGGTTCGGGACAGCAAAACCGCTCCGGAGCTGCTCTGCTGCTTTCCCCAGCTCGGATCCCCCGCTCTCGGACCAGCGAGGAGCTGCTGCGGGCACATCACAGACACCGCCCGGCAGCGGGCAATGGGACCGGGGCACACAGCTGGCACACAGCTGGCACACAGCTGGCACACAGCTGGCACACAGCTGGCACACAGCTGGCACACAGCTGGCACACAGCTGGCACACAGCTGGCACAGGGAGCGCAGCGGGGAGCTCAGCCTCGCAGGGTGAGCATTCTGCATTCCTCTAACTCTGCCAGCAGCTCAGCCGAGCCCGCTCAGAGGCTTCCAAGGGTGTTTGCAGCCCGAGGGGAGTGCCAGCGCTGCGCCCTGTGAGCCAGCAGCACACCCAGCCCGTGTGCCAGCCCAGCCTCGGCACAGCCAAGCTGCTGTGCCCGCTGCCCTGGGACATTCCCGGGCCAGCTGGCCGGACTGGCAGAACGGGTCTGGAAATCCCGCCTGTGTGAGCTGTGCTGTTGTGCAACCGCGCCTTCCTTACGTGTGTGCGCACTCCGGGAGACGATTTAGAGTCACTGGAATCGCTCAGCTGCGGTCTGGTGCCCCTGGAGAGGACGATCCGAGGCCTTCATGGCCTGCAGAACATCAGAGGGATGACCTGGGGCTTCCTTAGAGGTCCAGCTGTTTGCTGCTGGCCCGTGTGAGCCCGACTGCCTGCAGCCCAGCCAGCACCAGAGGCCTGGGATGGCAGCTGAGCCCCAGCGCTGCCCTGGCAGCAGCACGAGGCTGCTGTCACACACCAGGGGTCAGGCACCAAGACCCCAGACCTCAGCCCTGGACAGGGCTGTCCTGGTTCCGTTCCTCCTGCCGTGACGGAGGTGACAAGCCCAAGGAGCCCTGCTCCAAGGGACAGCCAGAGCCTCGTGCCCAGGGCTCCTGCTCAGGGTTTGATAAGCCCTGTTGTGGCTCTGGGGAGGGCAGCGAGGGTGGCTCACCTGCTTTTGACCCAGTGACTTTGCTGGCAGCACAAGCAGGAGGCTCTCGGGGCACAGGACTTACCCGTCAGGGCAGCTGTCACAGCTGTGCTCTCCTTAGGGGGTGAAGGAGAGGTCACGCTCCTGCCCAGCCCTTCACATCCCACATCTGCACATCTCAGGCTTCCCCAGGCTCTTCCCCTGACCCTCAACCCACGGACTGGGGAAGGAGCCTGAAAACACAGAGAGTTTTAGGTGGTATCTCCGTGGACACAGCAGGTCCTTGTGTCACACAGACCCGCGGCAGCCCTGACCACGGCTCTTACCTTGGCAGCGTTGGACGTGGGAAATTTTTCATTTGTACCCACACCTGCACTTTAAATGAAATGCAGCTTTGTCCCTGTGTCCATGAGGGAGGCTGCAGCTCACATGAAGAGACACTGCTGAAGCCTCGTGGCAGCCTGTGGATCCTCACGTGCAAGGAATTCCCTTATAAGCAGCTTTGAACAGTAAAATAATCACTCGGCCCTGTAAAACTGTATTGGCCATAAATGAACTTTGTCATGGTTCCACTGGTTTCTTTGCTCTGTAACATCTGCATCTCACACAAACACCACGTGCCTGACAGCAAGAGGAGGAAAAAAGTATCTTCCAGGAGCTTCATTTGACATGACATCGCATTTTCCAGCAATTTAATGAGGCAGCCAGGGCACCTGTGGGAGCAAACACCCCACCCAGGGCTTCTCTGAGCAAGGTGAGGTCTGGCCAGGGACAGTCCCAGCTGCTGCAGAGGCTGCTCTGAAGAGTTTTGTGTGGTATTTGCCATCCAGAAAGGTTTCCTCAGCCAGAGATTAACTCAAAATCAGAGGAAGCTTTCTCCCCACACAGGTATGTGTAGCACCCACAGCACCCCTAGCAACCTGTCCTGCTTCCTCCCTTCCCAGATCCTGCTGCCCAGGGATGGGAAGTGACACCACACAACACACTGTTCAGCAGCTTCCTAAATCCACACCTCTGGGGAAAATATCTGTTATTAATCATTTGTTCTACTCGCATTATTGACTTTATCCTGTCTGCTTCATCACACTCTGCTCCGTGGCAGTCACCTGCTCCATCTGTGTCTTCATTTGAATGTATCCTATGCCCTTTCCCCACCTTTTTTGGCTCTGTCCCCTCTTCCTTCCCCACATCCCTTTCTGCTGGGGTCAATTCTCAAAGCCTCCTCTTCCTAAGGTTCTCACTTACCTTCCCTGCAGAGATGACTGGAGAGCAGCACTGACCCTGGGCTATTTACCAAGCTCCATCCTTGCAGTCCGTGACTCTTACAGCTGGTGCAGAAATCAAGCCCCAGTAGGTACTGCAGCAGGTCTAGTGCCTCTTTCTCCCACCTGCTTCCCACTGGATTGTCCATTCCTCCCTCTGCAGGGCCAATTCAACCTGGATTTGCATTAGCCAGGGAAAGTTTCACATTACTTCACATTACAATTAACTTCACAAAGGTTTCACCCTCTCCCACTGCTGTGCTCAGAATCACTCTGCTCTGTTAGCTCTTCACAGTCAAGGATCTTCAAAAGCTTTCCAGCCCCTAGAGCACACCCTGCCACCTCCCCCTGGGGCTGCACTGACCCACGGGCTCAGCATCCCAAGCGGATGGGCTTGGCTTTGGCACTCCCCTCCTAATTGGTTTGCTTAGCACTCGGCTGCTAAAGTTAGCAGGAATGAGGGAGAAACCGTGCTGGGCTGAGGGCAGCATCATTAGGGCATCATTAGGAGCGTGAGGACATGGGTCTCCCCACCTCCAAAAGCCTCCTGCCATTCCTGGCTGATACCTGGGGATTCAGGGAACGCTGGACTCCCCACAGCAGGCAGGTATCAGTGGAGATGATCATTGCAAGGAACAGCAGGAGGGACATGCCACCATGTGTCCCTGTCAGCCTGGCCTCTGCCAAACCACCACAGACAATCACTGTGGAGTCCACAGACCACACAGCAGCAAGGACTCAGAAGAAAAGATGTTTAATTATGGTATACATTAAATTAAATGTAATTCTGAATATTGGTCTCCAAATTCCTGATGACTTATTCACCGTAGGGCAGCTCCTGTCAGTCCCAGCAAGGGTGAGGGTCCCACTGTGCCAGACAACTGAGTCAAAGAGCCTTTCTCAGCCCAAAGAGAGCATCCAGTGCTCTCCTTAGCATGGTGATCTGTCCATGGGCACCTCTGCTGCTGTCCACCTCTCTAAATCCCTCTCAGCAGTTGGCACATGGTACAAAGTTAATAAAGAATCAGCACAACTGGGAGTATTCAATCCATTTACAGAGAAGCAGGTACAGAGGAGCTCGTGTCTCACAGAGGGCAGACGATGCCTTTAACAGCTTCCATGGCTTTGGGAGGTTGGACTTGGGCACCCAAACTCCTCCAGGGCTGTGGTGTGTGTCCTGTGTTGGGCTGGACCTGCCCTCACCACGGCGCTGGGATCATTCCCAAGCTGCAGATCTTTCTGTGGAGCTTTCCGTGCAGGAGCTGCTGCCAGGTGGGACAGGGCAGCAGCTGGAGTGTTCATACCATGGCCCATATTCCATCCATCCATCCATCCATCCATCCATCCATCCATGGCACCATGAGGACGAGAGCACCCTGTGCACTGCTAAGGGTGGAGCCAGAAAGGTCCATCACCAACTGCTGAAGGTGGAAAGAAGCCACCTGTACTGGCCATTTACTGGGCAGGAGATGAGGCAGTAACTGAGCACACAGCCCCTTCTGTGCCCTGAGGGAGGGGAAAAGGGAGACAGTCTCTGAGCCCAGCTGGGGATGATCCCATCAGAATTCCGTGTGGCCTCATTCACTCTGTAGCAGCAAATGCTCCTGGCTCACCTGGAAGCTGCTGACACTTCCCAGCAGCTGGATGTGTTCACCAAGCTGCCGAGTCCTTCCCCACCACCCCAGAGCCCATCTCAGAGTCCCCAAAAGCAGGGAAGTCCATTGAGATTAATTTGTAGTCGCAGCTGTCCCCACATGGATCATCCAGGTCCTGCAGGGCTCCGCTCAGCTCACCCCGTGCTCCCCTTCACGTGGGATGTCACGGTGCAGGGGACACGTGTCTGCCTGTCCTCCTGCACAGCAGAGCCCAGTGCTGCCTGACCACAGTCCTTGCCAGCCCCAGGATTGGAATTAACTCATTTAAAGGAAAAAGAGAAATACAAAACCAAAACCAGCCGCAGCTCTGACCTTTACCATAAAAAAAAAAAATGGAGAAAGAGAAGATATTCGGGACCAATATATACAGATGGGGGAATTGCACTTAATTACAATAGTTTACATCCATTGGACAAAATTTACTTATTTTTTATATAAATCTCTATGTATAGGAGTGGGGAGGGGGCAGGATGGAGCAGACTGTACCTATATTTACAGTTTAATTGGCTCAGTTCAACAACACATGCAATTCCTCCCCTCCAAACGCCAAGTAACAGACCCCGGTCCCTCTCAGTCCGCCGAGTGGAGGAGTATAACTTAGACATGATCCATCTTCCCCTTCCGCCAGTTCCCAGCACAGCTCGTGCCTTGTTCCTCGGGAGAGCCTCTTGGAAGGCAAATACTTCAGGAAAATAATCCCCAAGACACATCTTGGAAATACTGCGTGGAGGGAAGGAGAGGCAGGTCCCGGGTGGGCACCGCGGCTCCGGGCTGGTCCCCGGCGGGCTCGGGAGCCCCGGCTCCGTGTCGGGCTCCTCGCTGCTGGGCTGTGCTCTGGCAGGCGACTCCCGGGCTGTGAGCGCAGCTCGCCCTCGGGATGTTGTGGAAAATAAGATCCCGTTGCTATGTGCAAAAGCAGCGAGGTGTGGAGCATCACCAGGCTTGCAGGGGACACTGGGGAGGGAGAGAGAGCAGCACGGTGAGCGGCGGGGAACGAGGCAGGAGGAGGAGGCAGCACCACAAAGCATTTGGAGGCATCACCTCCTGCACTGCTCCGTGACCTTGGTGTTGCCCTGCTCAGCCCCGAGCCCTCCCTGGCACCCCTGTGGGGGAGGCAGTGGGAAAATACTTCCTTAGGCAGCTATCGTCACCCCCTCCCAAACACAGTAACACTAAAGAAGGTCCTGTTTGTGCCCAGGCTGTGCCACGCAGCCCAGGAGCAGCCAGGCGAGAGGCTGAGCTCGGCCGGGCTGGGAGCGGTGCCGGGGGCTCACCGCTGTCCCCCAGCATCGCTCTCCTCTCCAGGGACAGAGCCAAGCACTCTTCCACAAGATGTGGCCCCTGCCACATCCATCCCACTGCAGAGGCCCCTTCTCCATCCCTCTCCATCCCTGGGGTCCCCGCAGTGCCCGGTGGGCGGGGGCCAGGGGTGGGGTGACCTTGCGGGCTGGAGCGCACAGCAAACATCGTCAGGCGGAGATAAGGAGACGCCAGGAGCCTCCCGTGACATGTCATTAGGGACTGGCCGTGGCTATCAGGTGTTTGCCAACGTAATAAACATGGTGGCTCGGCCTCAAGCGTTGTCAAAGGAACCGGGAGGTATTTGCCCCTTCCAGGTCTAATAACAATATCTGATAAGAGACCCACAGCAAGCGAGAGCAGAGCTGGGGGGGACCAGGGACCTCCCTCCAGCTCTGTCCCCCCGGCTGGACCTGGAGCAGCCACCTCCACCACGGAACAGGTTTTGGGGTCTGGTGAGGGCTGCCTGCCTTATGCCAAGGCAATGTGTGCAGGAGCCAGGGCACAGCCCCTGGTAGCCCCAGTCAATGACAGAAACCCAAATCACCAAAAATATTTAGGTATTTGAGCAATTTGGGTGGTGAGCAACATTTATGGGGCCCCCATGCTGCGTCTGTCACACTTCATTCACCTCTGGCTAATGAAACTGCTGACCAGCAAGAAAGAAAACCATGTCCAAAGATAAATTTTTCCAGCTGTAGCTTGGGCATCGAATGGTTGGCAGGAAAAGAGACCCCGGGGGCTGGGAGGGTTTGCTGTTGGAGACGGGTCAGATCCTGCCCTGGTGCTTGCAGGATGTTTATCATGTATTGGGGGTAATGGGGGGGTGGGTGCCCCTTCACCACAGCAGGTGAAGGGTCCTGGCCCCATATCCCCCCCTCCTCAGCCACGACACCTCCTCCTGCTTTAATTAAAGTGCAAAAACGTGGTGGAGGCAGAAAGCCCTGGGAGCCCCAGCCCCGTGGGCAGAGCTGGTCAGGGTAGGGTGATCGCAGGGCCCGGAGGCAGCGGGGATGGCCGGGCTCTATCTCCCTGCCAGGGACATTTCCTGTGTCCCGGGGCTGCCCGGCCAGCCCGGCATCAAAGGCAGGAGAGCTCGATTAATCAGGGGCAGTTCGGGCTGAGCGCGCAGCAGATGGGCCGATAAAGCTGCACGGAGGAAATGGAGCTCGGAGGGGCGGCCGTGCCTGAATGGTCACCCTGAGTGGGACCCCGGGGAGGTGGCATTCGTGACCCCTTCCCAAGCACCCCAAACCCCCCACGTCTCCCCTTTGCAGCCCAGCCCCTTCCTTCAGCCTCGCCAAGGATCCCACAGCGATGCCGGGGGGGTCTCAGAGCAATCCCACACTGTATTTACTCTGTGGTCATTGCAGACATTTTTTTCCTGTCCCCTGTCAAACCTCGGGAAGAAAGTTTATCTGAATGCAAGTTCAAGGCTCTCTCTTATTTATCTAGCGATCAATAAGGGCCACATATTTCCCACAGTCCCCAGAACTGGCTCTCAGAAAGGGACTATTGTCTAAGGAAAACCTCACACACCTGATTTGAACCAGGATAAGTCCGGCCCTACACCTGCAGTGGGCAGATGATAAAGGTTTATGGGCTGGGGGAAGTTGGGGAGCCTTGGACTCCACTTGACTCCAACCACGGTTGATCCCCCTGGGCACAGGCAACAGAGCCTGCTTGGCTCTACCTCCTCAGCCCCAGCAGGATGCTCCCACTCTCATGGAGTTGCCCCAGGGATGGGCAGGTACCACCAAGTGTCAGACAAAATCGCCCAAATCCCCAGCATGCCACCTGCAAGCAGATGTTTCAGAAGGGGCTGGGATGTGGTCCTCATCCTCAGAGATGTGGTTCTCATCCTCAGAGATGTGGTTCTTATCCTCAGCTTCCCACGAGCGGAGCACAGGCAGCACGATGGGGTCTCTGCTCTCCCACCTCCAGCCCCATATCCAGAGGGGGAAAAGCTCCAGCCCACCTTCCCCCGCACCCCGTGCCCCCTCACAGCCCCGTGGGTCGTTACCTGCTTGCTGGAAGACATGTTGGTGAGCGTGCTGATGCTGCTGGTGTCCGTCACCACCATGGCCGAGGGGAAGCGGGAGGTGTGGGAATACTGGGGAGGCTCCTGTTTGTGCGCGTACACTGCGGACAGCGGGGGACAGGTCAGGGAAAAGCCACCCCAGCCCTCGCTACGGCAGCTCCAGGGGTGGGAGCGGGCAGCAGGGACACAGGGATGAGGTTAAACAAGCCAGGGGAGGAACCCACCGCTTCCCTCCATTCCCAGGCGGCAGCTCGCCCCCAGAAACCCGCGGGGACCGAGGGGCTGTGGCTGCACCAGACGGATGGAGCGGGGGAAGGAGGGGATGAGGCAGGATGTGACCACCCTGCCCTGCTGAGCATCCCATGGGCTGGAGCCACGAGAGAGGGGCAGCAGCCAAGGCTGCCAGCTTGGGCAGGGGAGAGCAGGAGGAGAGCACAAGCCGATTTCCCGTCTGAATTCATTTCCAGGTCCCTCTGCAGCTTCCCCAGCCCTTACTGTGAGAGTTCTGCAGCTGGGTGACGGTGGCCATGAAGGGCTGCTGCGGCATGTGGCCGGGGGACTGCTGCATCAGCGGCTGCTGGTGCGGGCTGTGCAGCTGCTGCGAGAACTGCACCGGCTGCAGGGCTGCCAGGCTGCCAGCCACGCTGTTGATGACGGGGACACTCTGAGCCTGGGAGGTGTTCAGACCTGGGAGCAGGGAGAGAGCAGAGGGGGCCGTCAGGAGCGGGCAGCGTCACCTCCCCGTCACAGGGCAGGGGACAGGGGAGAACTGGGCTTACTCTGGGCGATGGCCATGACTCCCGAGAGAGGCGTCATGATGAGGTTCTGGGATTGCTGCGGGTTGTGGTGGGACAGGCTGTGGATGTTGGTCAGGGTGCTCACCGGGGGCAGCCCGCCCCCCGACACGGAGATCTGCAGGGCAGGACAGGCAGTGTCAGAGCTCATGGGGACATGGGGGGCATCAGCAGAGCCCTCTCCTCAGAGTCCCGCTGGGGCTTCACCCCCCACACCCCCACGGTGCAGCACCTCCCCTGCGTGTTAATATACAGCAAACCAGCTTTGGGAAACACTTTGCTGGCACTGGCTTCCAGCTCCACTGGAGCATGGCACCAGAACACGGCACATCCCAAGCCCTTGCTGTTTTGTACCCCAAGTCCAAGCTCCAGCCCACAGGGACAGCTGAGGGCTCTTGACACTCATTAACTTTTAACCAGTGTACTTGTAGGGGAAATGGGACCTATAAACTCAGGAAAGTGAAGAAAAATGACAGAAAGCAGATGAAAAGGGCCCCGTGGTGATGATTTTAGTCACCAATCTGGCAGGATACCGGTGAGACGGGAGTGGGTGAGCGCAGACAGAGCCAGTGCCCAGGCTTTTGGGCCAAAGTTTAGGGATCAGACAAAGGCACTTGCTGTGTGCTGTGAGACTGGAGCTGGTCCCCAGGACATGTAAGTGCCTTGTTTCTTTAGTTGCTGCACCTTCCCCTAATCCCTGTCGTTAGCCCTCTTGCACTGAGTGACCTCAATCCCAACCCAGGGCCATCCCTGCAGCCCTTCAGGTGACATTTCTGGACACCCGTTCCGAGCACCTTGTTTATTTTGCACATGTGAGCTGGAGATAGCAATTGAAACAAATCCATCAATAAATTCCAAAGCCCGGGAGTGACTCACATTTCCTGATCCGGTATTTTCCACTTTCAAAGTCCCTTCAAGGCCGCATTACACCACACTCGGCTGCACAAGTCAAACAGCTCCCGGCAAGCACATGCTGCTCGCCTGCAGCCCCAGCTCCTCTCACAGGCTGTTTAGCCCCAGAGCACTGCACCTGGCTTGTGCATGACTGGAAAAGACCCTCCAGGCACTGGACCCTCAGGGTAGACCCTCTGGCACTAACACAGCTGAGGCAAACACTGGAGCATGAAAGAGTGAGCCACAGGAGATTTCTGGTGCCTCAGCAACGCTCCTTCCTGAAAGATGCCGCAACTTCCTTGGCAGCTCCTTGTTTCATGTGGGGCATTAAAGGCACATGTTTACTCACTAGAAACCACAGCCTACAGCATATTTCTATTAAATCACTTGCAAGCACCAGCTAGCCCTGCCTGGAGATCAGAGATAAGCTGGCAGAGCCGCGGTCCCGCGCGGTCCCCACGGCGCTGGGCAGTGTCTGTGCCTTGGGCAGAACGCAGCAGGGCCCTTCTGCTGCACTTTTCCAAGTGGCTTTTCCCAGTTTCATCTGCTCCCTTCCCTTCTCCCGTGCTGCCCAGCCCCTTCTGGGGGTCTCTGTCCTGGTGCCAGGAGCTGGCAGGGGGTGCTGGCATCACCTGGTCCTTGGGGATCCCCGCCCTGGCACTGCGGTGCCGCCGCTGCCTTTATCCCTGACTCATTTTATGGCTTCCAGGCTGAGGGTTATGAGCCTCAACACACCCCGGAGGTGATCTGGGCGTGCTGGGCCAGAGGGAGTGGGCTGGGGGGGCTGGGCTGTTGCTCTGCAATGTCCCCCCAGCTTGGCAGAGGACACTTGGCTTCGCAGGGTGAGTGCCAGAGCCAGAGGGGCTGCACAGAGACCCTCTCCAGCCAGGAGAAAGGCACAATGAAATGGGGCCATAGCTGAGGGACAGCGAGCCCCTCCGTGGCCACCCAGCTTTGCCAGGAGACCGGCGGGATGGCCCGGGAGGGACAACCCTCTGAAAATGGAAGTGAAAACCGGGGAAGAACCAGCTTGGCCCCGTCACCCAGTGCCATGTTTGACTTTCGATTTCAGCAGGAAAAAACTCCCGGAAAAGCAGCAGCTGCAGGCAAACCTCTGCCAGCCTGCTCCAGGGACGGGCTGTGCTCTGCTATCCCACCCTGCTCCTGATCCTCCTCCTTGCCCTGCTCCTTCACCCACTCCTCCAGGGGCTTTGCACCAGGCAGGGGCACCCCGAGCGCTCAGGTCCTGCAGCAGCAGTGTGGGGACATGTCCAGCACCACAGGGATGCTGATGTCCCATCTCCACTCGTGCCATGCTGAGGATGACAGCTCTGCCCAGCAAAGCCCCCACAGCAGAGCCCCAAGGACGTGGCACAGGGGAGGGGGAGAGGCAGGAGCTGTGAGGCCAGAGCCAGCATGAGCAGCCTCAATCCCCTGGGTGATGCCTGGGACAAGAAGGTCCCTGCTCACAAGGAGAGCTCTTCCCAAACTTGGGAGGGCTTATGGAAAAAGTAATGAATGGGTATTTTATCGATACCGTGTCACGGGCAGGGGAAAGCAAACAGTGATCCACCCAGCGCCTTCATCCTGCGATCAATGAAGCCAGATCCATCTCGGAAAACACTCCGTGTCCCACCGGGAGCGGGACAGCGGCACCCTCGTCCCCCACAATGCCCCATTGTTCAGCCCGGGCCGCGTGTGAAACCCGGGGAAAGCGTGTTTGCTCTGCCCGCTGGGCCCTCTTATCTTATCAGCGCCGCCGCCACAATGGGCCAGGTGTACTCACCATTTTACCTTCGGGAGACAGCAAACCGTGGCCCGGGTCCAGGCTGGCCGGGGAGACCTGCTGCAGGACAGCCTGGCTGGTGGTGACCATGGCACCGCTGCCGTGGTGGCCGATGGCCCCCGAGGACGCCGCCTCGCCACTCGCCGCCTGGCTGTAGCGGACCCCTGCAAAACACAGCCCGCATCGGCATCACCCGGAGAGCCAGGGGGGTGTCCCGGGTCCTGCCGACCCCCTCAGCCCTCCCACAGCCCCCTGGCACAAGCACGCAGATGTGGACACGCTCCCGACGAGTCCCTTCCTCCAGCAGCGCTTCCCAGCCTGTCCCTGGCCTGGAATCTGCTGGAATTCCCGTGAGGATGGCTGGAGCTGCAACCCCACACTGCCCAGTGCCACCAGGGGGGAAATGACCCCACCTGGGCCCGTGGCCCCACGCCCACCTGCACCCCTCGTGTTCCATCTGCACAGTTCGCACCCCTCCTGCAAAGTCCTGCCGCGGCTCTTGGGGACCCTGCACCACGAGGAGCGACCCTGCAGCCTCCATCTCATCCCTCTGAGGCTCTCCCGCAGCCCCCAGCCATCCCCAGCTGCCCAGCTCCCAGATCCACGGCTCCCACTGTTTTCTCAGGCCCTTCTGCATCCGATTCCCTCTCACCACCCTCTCCAAAAGTGTATGATTAACAGAGGGACCAGACACACACCAACCCCCAGAGCAGACCCCAGCCCTCCACTGCCCTGGAGGGAAATCTGGCCCCAGCACTGGTCTTCTATATAAATATATTTAATTTGGCAAAAGCACCCCACACTGATAACCATATGATCAGCCATGTGTCATGGAAAGGCATCTACAGATCACAAATAATTAACTGAGGAAAATCCATGGGAAACAAAAGTGTCTTTTACGGGGCTGCCTTGACAACTACAGCAAAAAGCCATTTATTAGGAGGAGCCCAGCCCTGTGCTCCCAGCCAGACTTACTGAACTGCTCTGGGATCGAAGTGGTGCATGATGGACAGACAAACCACGGCTCTGCTGGGGAAAAAACCCGTGGTGGCAAAGCCTTGCCAGCCACCATGAGCATCACCCACCCGTGACCCCGGCCACTGCACAGGGACACTGGGGACAGCCCCTCAGAACCACAGGGGAGGTGCAGGTGGAGGATGCTCTACTCCAAAATTAATCTCTGAACCAAGGCAAAACAAAGAAATAATAACTGGAGTGCAGGAGCTTTCCACCAGCTCCAAAATCATCTGCCCAAGCACAGACCCACACACACCCTCCACCAAAACCACAACACAGCCACTCCGTAATCGCCTCCGAGTTTTCCCCATCAGCTGGTTAAACACGACCCGCAGATAGGAATCTCCTCACCATGTCTGGTTCCTGATGATTTCCCAGCAAACCCCTTTATCCCTGATAATAAAAGAATGTCCTCTGGCAGGTGGATATTTGCCGGCCCGAGTGGACGTCCCTGCCATGAACAGGGTAAACATTACTCAACCCGGGCACTGTCACACACATTCCTCCCGTGGCCCCGGCCCTGCAGAGGGTGCTTCACTCTGGGCCGGGATCCCGGCGCTGCTGAAACAATGGGAGGGGAGATAAAATAAAGCTCTTTCTTCTGGGTGCGATCTGAGAGATAGACGAGAGCGCAGACGGCTCCTCTCGCAAAGGAAATTAGAGTTTCTGCTGAATTCAAGCTCTTCTGGGCTCAGTAAGAACAACAAAAAAAGTCCATTCTAAATGCAAAATCATGCCCTATCCAGCTGAGGGGGTGATAACCCATGAGCAAAGCCACCCAAGGCTCTGAAGTTGACTTCAAAACACACAAGAGGTGAAATGCTGATTTCCAAGCTCTTCCTCACATCCCCAAGGACAAGACTTTGATTGTTTGAGGAACAATAACCAGCGCCGAGATTCCCAGATAGGCTGGGAACTGAGATTTTGGGTCTCTAGATAAAGCCACTGATGACTCTGTGTCTTGATGAAGAGTCTTGATGAAGATTAACTCTCCCCAGGAGAGCCAGGCTGGGCTCTGGGCTGGTGACAGCAGTGCCACTCTCCAGCCCCACCAAGGCCCCTGCTCAGAAGCTGCTTGCTGGGCTGGGAGAAGCCTCCTGCCAGGGCTTCCTTTAGGAAACATCAATCCTCACTGGGTTTTCCCCATTCTCACAATGGGAGGGGTGTTATTACTGATGTGTCCCCAGGGTGGGCTGGATTTGGGCAGATCAGATCATTAATATTGGGAAGGCACTGCTGCTGTTGTCAGCGCTGTAACACATGGAGCTCCCTGGTGATAGGGGTGCCCTTCCCCTGAGCTCCCCAGGCTTCCCTCAATCCCTGAGCCCTGGGATCCTGGCAGCACAACCTCTGGGAGCTCCCCACAGAGCCCCCACAGCCGGGTGAACGCACGAGCACAGCTCCAGCTGCTTGCACCAGGGCTGAGGATTCCTCCCGGAGCGAGTTTTGGCAGCCAGGGTTTACAAGCTGGGCTCAGACAGCCATCAGAACCCAACACAACAGTTCTGCTGCTGCTCTCCTGTGCCTCCACAGCTGGAAGCAGCCCTTGTGCAAAGGGATTTATTCCCCCTCAGTCTCTTCCCGCGGCTGCTCAGGAGAAGAGCCTGGATGGGGATCACCAGGAATGGCCGTGGAGCCTTCCCTCCTCAAGGCTTTTTTTTAACTGGAGCTACAGCCATAATATAAAATCTGTTTATGGGATGGGCCATTGTGTGGCCCCTGAGCTGCACAGCCTGTGAAATGTTTTACTGCTTTCCCCTGCCCCAGACGAGCCGCAGGGTCCGGCTCCCGTAGCCTTAACCCTGTTCCAGCCGATGGATGGGGAACGGGGAACGCAGCGTGACAGCCCCAGGGCAAGGGGGTCCTGGGCACCCAGAGACAGCCCCAGCACCTCCCAACTTCTCTGGGGCACCACACTCATCCTCCTGATTCAGTTTTTGGGGTAGGGGGATAGTAGAGGGAGTTCAGGGCAAGGATTGGTCTCTTTATCACTTTCATTGCAGCCTTGTGCCATTTTCTCAGCACACACCAGTCCTGTCCCTTTGGCAGGCACCAGCAGCAAAGCAGTTTAGCTCTGCTTTGCTTTAAGTTACATTTGATATTAATAAATTGTATTTTAAAAAGCCCCCCATTGTACTTTTAACTGTGTTTCCCACGCAGTGGGAGCCCTGCTGCCACCGTGCTACAGCACATCCCAACCTCGGCGTCTGCCTCTTCCCCCAGCTCTAGGCTGCACTTCTGCCCAGACCTTCACCAATGTCCTGCACATCACCAGCAACACCAAACCCCAAAAGAGACCCCAAAAATTCACCAGCAATCTGGTGGTGGCGGGGATCCAGCTCAGGTTCTGCCTGACCCCCAGGATGCTGCCACTGGCATGGACCAGGGTGTGGGAGCGGGCTGAGAAAAGGAAAGTGTCATTTTTGGGGTCGTGCTGGACTCAGTGATGCTTCACCCATTGACACTGTGGGCAGCCAGGTCGCTGATGGGACAGTTTCACCCTCCCAAAATTCAGGTCCGGGCAGCCCTGAGGGCAGCCCTGATTTCTGGGCTGCCACTCAAATTGTCCCTAAAGTGTTAATCTTGCTCAGTTACGGAGGTGCATAGTTTATATCCATTATAAACCCGTTTATGGGGACTAGACCCTCCCATTTCGCTGCTGTCATAAAGTTCTAATTACCCCCATAAAACAGGGAAAAGCTCCAAACAGCACACTGTACCCACTGAGCCCCACAATGTGCTCGACAGTAAAATATTACAGCTGCTGGCACCGGGTCCCAGTGAGAACCAGCACCCCAAGGAACACCGGGAAGCATCCAGGTACAAACCAGGGTACCCAGAGCCAGGGTTCGCTCATGGGCTCTTCTTTTAAAGGAAAATTAAAGCATTTCACTTGCCCTTTGGGTTTTAGGAAGAATCCCAAGGGTGGCACTGGGTTATTTTTATGTTTATCTCCATCCATAGAGATACCTAAATGTGTATGGATATATATAGGTAAGTAATGCATTTTAATATATATGTATGTACACATATATATCTATATAAATGTGATTGTTCTGATATTGCTCTGCTACTCTGATGTTTGCAGAGGAGGGAGAGAGGGAGGGAGGGAGGGAGGGAAGGAAGGAAGGACGGAAGGACGGAAGGACGGAAGGACGGAAGGACGGAAGGACGGAAGGACGGAAGGACGGAAGGACGGAAGGACGGAAGGACGGAAGGACGGAAGGACGGAAGGACGGAAGGACGGAAGGACGGAAGGACGGAAGGACGGAAGGACGGAAGGACGGAAGGACGGAAGGACGGAAGGACGGAAGGACGGAAGGACGGAAGGACGGAAGGACGGAAGGACGGAAGGACGGAAGGACGGAAGGACGGAAGGACGGAAGGACGGAAGGACGGAAGGACGGAAGGACGGAAGGACGGAAGGACGGAAGGACGGAAGGACGGAAGGACGGAAGGACGGAAGGACGGAAGGACGGAAGGACGGAAGGACGGAAGGACGGAAGGACGGAAGGACGGAAGGACGGAAGGACGGAAGGACGGAAGGACGGAAGGACGGAAGGACGGAAGGACGGAAGGACGGAAGGACGGAAGGACGGAAGGACGGAAGGACGGAAGGACGGAAGGACGGAAGGACGGAAGGACGGAAGGACGGAAGGACGGAAGGACGGAAGGACGGAAGGACGGAAGGACGGAAGGACGGAAGGACGGAAGGACGGAAGGACGGAAGGACGGAAGGACGGAAGGACGGAAGGACGGAAGGACGGAAGGACGGAAGGACGGAAGGACGGAAGGACGGAAGGACGGAAGGACGGAAGGACGGAAGGACGGAAGGACGGAAGGACGGAAGGACGGAAGGACGGAAGGACGGAAGGACGGAAGGACGGAAGGACGGAAGGACGGAAGGACGGAAGGACGGAAGGACGGAAGGACGGAAGGACGGAAGGACGGAAGGACGGAAGGACGGAAGGACGGAAGGACGGAAGGACGGAAGGACGGAAGGACGGAAGGACGGAAGGACGGAAGGACGGAAGGACGGAAGGACGGAAGGACGGAAGGACGGAAGGACGGAAGGACGGAAGGACGGAAGGACGGAAGGACGGAAGGACGGAAGGACGGAAGGACGGAAGGACGGAAGGACGGAAGGACGGAAGGACGGAAGGACGGAAGGACGGAAGGACGGAAGGACGGAAGGACGGAAGGACGGAAGGACGGAAGGACGGAAGGACGGAAGGACGGAAGGACGGAAGGACGGAAGGACGGAAGGACGGAAGGACGGAAGGACGGAAGGACGGAAGGACGGAAGGACGGAAGGACGGAAGGACGGAAGGACGGAAGGACGGAAGGACGGAAGGACGGAAGGACGGAAGGACGGAAGGACGGAAGGACGGAAGGACGGAAGGACGGAAGGACGGAAGGACGGAAGGACGGAAGGACGGAAGGACGGAAGGACGGAAGGACGGAAGGAAGGAAGGAAGGAAGGAAGGAAGCCTGAGCCCCCCATGGGTGTGGAGACCCCAGGACAGGGGTGCTGAGCCCCCCGGCCGTGGGGCTGGGGCTCTGCAGGGCGGGCAGCCCTTTGTATGCAGGGCGGGCGGTGCTTCCCCTAATCTCATCAATGCCCCGATTGTCTTCGGGGCTCTTGAAGATAAAAATGGCATAAGCCAGAGTCTACAGCATGGCACCGAGATAAAGCCCCAAGTGACCTTCAAATCAAACAGGGAACCAAGACCGCTGATAAAACCCAGAGTCAGGGAAAAGTCCAGCCTCGGAGAGGAGCCTCCGAGATAGAAAGGCTTTAAGTATTTACCTCCAAATAGTTAAAAACTTCAGCTCCAGGCTTGACAGATGGGTCCCCAAGCAGAGGCCGGAGGATGTTTGACTTTTACAGCTCTCATCCCTGCCCCGCTGTCATCCCGCCCTTTTGCAAGACCCCATTGATGTCCCGAGGAGAGGCGATCCCTCTTTGTCCACAGGCACGGGAGAGGTTTGCAGCTGCCCCACAGCTCCAGCCCCATCGTTTCCTGCCGGGGATGTCACGGGGGCCGGGTAGGGCAGGGACAGTGTCCCCGTGCTGTCATTAAGCTGTTAAGGCATTGAGCGGCCCAGACGCCGCCACATCGGGGCAAGGACAGTTCAAATCCCAGCATGGACAGCCAGGACGGGGTCAGCCAGGCAGCGGGGCCAGCACCGAATGTGCCCCGCCAGCAGTGGATCCCCAGAAATCTCCTGGAGGAGGTTCCAGCAGCGATGGACCCGGCGGTGTTTCGGGAGCTGGAAGCCTCTCGGACCCAGCTTGGTCCAAGCACCCTGGAGCAATTATGGCTCAGCTCCATCCCTGCCTGCTGCCCCCAAAGCAACCCTAAAACCCCACAGTGTCCCTTGCCGTGTCCATCTCCTCCTCCTCGGGATGGATACGAGCACCGACCGCCAAGAAACTCTCGCAGCCGAGCCCTCCTGACCCCTCCGGAGGGGCTCTTCTCGCAGCCATCACTCCTGCCCTGCTCAAAAGCCCCTCGGGAGGGGCTGTCACCGGCCCTATAGCCACGGCCGGCCCCTGCTGGCACCGCTCCGACAGGAAAATAAAGGTTGGGGCTTAACGGCCCTCCAGCCCCAAGATAAATGCCCGCGGTTACAGTAATTGCTGTCCCCTAATAGAAGAAAACAAAGGCTCTCGGGGGGTGCCCCATGTGCGCTGGCAGGCCGGGGGCACATCAAAGGCAGCGGGCTTCGTTCAAAGCCCCGGCTTAATTGTCAATTAAGCATGCACGGGGGACAACGCCGTGACAATGCGGGGCTGCATGCTGGTGGGGCATTGTGAAGCCCGCCGCGACACCGAAAACAGCTGATTCTGCTGACAATGTGCTTGTAGGGCACCTTGTAAGCAATCAGCCGCTGACAGGAGGGCAAACGTCCTCCCTGTCCCCGCATTGTGCGGGGCATTCCTGGGGCAGGGTCACATTTTGGTCACCGCTGGCTGTCCCCGGGATCTGCCGGCTCCTGCCAGGGCCGGGACCCCTCGGGGGGCTGCCAACAGCCGTGCTGGTGTCCGCAGGCACCCTGCCCTTCCCGGGGACTCTCCGCCACTCGGCTTCCTTTGGTTTGCCTTTGGAAAGAGCTGGGTGTGTGTTCGGGGCCGGGCAGGGTCATTTCCAGCCGGTGCCTGGTTCCAGCCTCCCCGGCCGGGCTGTGCCGGTGCCGGGGCTGTGTCCGAGGGGACGTGGGGCTGACCCCCATCACCCTGTCCTGCCGGGGCAGGTAAGGGATGGAGATCGTTCTCCCAACAAGGCTTCTGGCCCCTGAGCCCCCCGCAGTGTGCAGCCCCCTCCCCACGGCGTTATCCTCCGCTTCAGTCCCCAGGAGTTTTCGGCGGCTCTGCTCTGCTCCGCCCGGTCCTCGCTGGGGCACGGGGATGCTGCAGAGTCGTGCACCCAGCCCGGGGTGTCTCCAGCCTGCAGCGAGGCCAGGACACGCTGCCACACTCCCCTCGGGCACCCGGGACCGCGCTCCCCACTGGGCTACATCCCACGGGCCGGCACTGGCACGGGCAGCTCCTCCCGCCCTGCCCAGCCGAGCCCACACGGAACTCCCGTGAGTCAAAGCCATCGAACAAACACTGATTTATCCTCGGCATGACGGAAATCCAGCCCTCACCACGCGGTTGGCCCGGCCATAACACTGCCGTGACAGGACGTGCTCCTCTCCATCACCGTCCCTCCCTGAGGCTGGAAGCAGGGTGAGCATCCTCACACACCCAGCCCCGCGGGCTCAGCACCCCCAAGCTCTGCCATCCCCCCCCCCCGAGCACCCCGGGCGAGCCTTACCTGGCATTTTGCTGGGCGGGGAGGCGCTGGGCTGGTTGTGGTGTGGGGAGCCGTGGGACAGCAGCAGGTTCATGCTGTGCGGGGGCTGGCCCGAGCTGTAGGCGTCCATGGCCAGTTTCTGGCGGAAAGCCTCCTCCTTGCGCCGGTTGGCAAACCAGTTGTACACACGGACCTCGGTGACCAGGTTGGAGCCCAGCCCGTGTGCCTTGGAGGGGGACACTCCTCGCTGCAGACATTCGGCCCTGCCAGCGCAAGGGAACACGTTGAAGTGAGGCTGCTGCTGCTGGGGGCAGGCAGGGGCCTCAGGACACAACAAATCTGGGGGAGTTCCAGCCCCTCCTGCAAGTCCACCTGCTCTCTTCAACTACAGCCATACTGTAAAGGCCATCCCTGCTCCCTCTGATATTGCTGGAACTCCACAGCATCCCTGTGCTATCCCCACAGCATCCCTGTGCTATCCCTGTGCTATCCCTGTGCTATCCCTGTGCTATCCCTGTGCTATCCCTGTGCTATCCCTGTGCTATCCCTGTGCTATCCCTGTGCTATCCCTGTGCTATCCCTGTGCTATCCCTGTGCTATCCCTGTGCTACCCCCACTGCAGCCCTGTGCTATCCTTGCAGCATCCCCATCACATCCCTGCCCAAGCATGGAGCTCACTCTGCCCCAGACATCACCCAGAGGGGCAAAGCATGGCAAGGAGAGGCCGGGCAGCTCGGCAGAGCTGTGCCATGAGCCGGGAGCCAGGCTGGTGAGCCGGGAGCCTGGCACCTGCCACGGCTGAGGCTGTGGGGCAGGGCAGGCAGTGCAGGCTGTGTGGGGCAGCCCGAGTTACCTGTTGCACTCCTCTACCAGGGTCTCTCGTTCCTCCTTGCTGGGGTTCTTCTGGCGCTCGTAGGCTTGGTACAAGATTTGCTGGGAGGCCGGCCCCCACTTGAACCGATTGCGCCGCATCTTCTTGCTGGGGGTTTCAGAGCAGGCGTCGTCGAGCTGGGCAGCCCCCTGGTTCTGCTGATTGAACTCTGGAAAGAGAAACAGCAGCTGATCCTGACTGCCTTTGTCTGTCATATTTCCACAACCCTGGACTGTCTGGTTGAACTCTGAAAGAGAAAGGAGCAGACGTGAGCTGGCCTGTAGCCGCCGCTCGGAGTCACGGTCCCGCCGAGGCGGCCCCCCCGTGTCCCCTCCCGCAGCACCCCGAGCCCACAGCGGGCTTTGGAGCAAGCCAGGTGCTCCCTGCCACCCACCCCAGCCCGCTGCCACCCCTGTTTAATGGGGAGGCATATGCAGGGCATGCCTATGGCCATGCATATTCATGGGCAGGGCCCCTGCCAGCCTGCACTTGTTTTGGGAGGATTTTTCCAAGCAAGGAGCTGGGCAGGATGGCTGCGAAGCCCCCCGAGAGGGTGCCCCTCTCTGCTCACCCACAGCTCCCCTCCCGCTCCCCTCCCAGCCTGGTGGGACACGGCCCCGTGCCCGGGGCGGGCAGCACCAGAGGTGACCTTCGGCGGCCGCCTCAGCCCCGGCGCTTGTCACCAGGGCAGTAAAGGGAGATTAATGGGAGGGTTTTATTATTCCCAGTTTTGCAGGGGAATTCTCCCTCTTTTTATAATGGCTTTTCCCCCCGTGACGGGGGAGGGGAAGCCCAGGGCAAGGCTGGAGCAGGCTCTGTTTGCTCTAACGTCTCAAGGTGTGTTTTCAGAGCGATGGTATTTGGTGCTAAACTCTTCTCTGCACTTCCCAGCTGCTGGATATTGCATCCCTTTGGAGGAGGGAGGCAGAGCTCTTTCCTGGGGGCTGCCAGTGCCACTCGGGGCTGCTCTGAGAGCTCCGGGACAGATCCCAGGGCAGGCAACAACGGGAGAGGGGCTCACAGGAATAGTCCATGTGCTTGGTCAAAATCATCTGCATTTTAAACAGCACAGACTGCCCCAAACCCTGCTACAGACAGCAGCAATTCAGGGGGTTTTCATTTTCTCTCCCTACATTTTTTGCACTTACGAGCAGCCTGGAGAATAACAAGGAGAAGGAGCAAAGGTGTGAAAGGCACCTAATTGCGAGCCATCATTAATTGCTTTCCCAGCTCTAACAAATACAAATACCCAGGAATCCAGCTGAGCCAGGGGGAACCCTGCCACCAAGAGGGGCTCTCACCCACTCTTCCTGCACCTTAAATTAATTTTACTTGGAAAAGGGTTTTGGGGAGATGCTACACAGCTGGAGTCTGGGGGCTGTGCTGGTACCCAGGGGCAGGACAGGGACACAGGGACCCCCTCTCCCCCCACCATTCCCACAGGTACTTACGCCGGAGGATCTCCCGCTGCTTGCGGACGTACCACGTGTACAGGGCAGCTCTCTTCTGGGTCTTCATGGGGGTGCCCTTGTTGAGGTGCTGGGAGAGGTGGGACTGGTTGAGGCCGGTGACATCCACCACCTCCCGCTGCGGGATGTTGTGCTGCTGCATGTACCCCTTGATCATCTTCGCTGCCCGCCACGGGTCCTCACTGTGGGCAGGGAAACCAAGGGTTAATATCTGCTGCCAGGGAAAAGCCCCCAGTATTTGCTTCTTCCCATAATGGTAACTTTTCATTACTATTGCTATTATTTCTATTATTGCTGCTATTATTATTATTATTATTATTATTATTATTATTATTATTATTATTATTATTATTATTATTGTTTCAGAAGGACACAAGATCCTCAGAGGGTTCCCAAAGGCCCCCACAACAGCCCTGTCCCATCCCAGGGCTGGCGGGATGGGCGCTCACATCCACGCCAGGGGTTGCCAGCCAGACTGTTCCCCCAGGGAGGGAGAAGCAGAGAGGATCCCAGTGTCCTGCTGGGACACACCAAGGTCTCACTGCTGCCAGCAAAGCTCCTCCAGGGAGAAGCACAGCCCACCCATGGACTGCTGCCGTAACGTGCAGCGCCATTTCTCCCGTGGGACATACACACGTGGATGGGCATGGGAAGCCCACCCTGGTCTCTTAATGAAGAAAGAGAAGTGCTGGGGATGCTTTTCCTGCCCCTGCTCATGGGTGCAGCACCTGCACCGTGCCCCGTGTCCCTGGGATCACCACGGGCTGGCAGGGACCCCTGCACAGCCACCCAAGCCCACCCGCCACGCTTGCTGTGTAGCTTCTTCCTTCCATTCCCAATGATCTAAAAATCTCAGTATCCCCTCAAAAGGGACCCTATTCCCTCTCTCCCACAGCTGTGCACGCACCGACCACATACAAAAGGCTGAGAAGCCAAGGTCAAACCAGGCACACAAACCCCGACGAGTCCCCAAAGGCAAAATCGAAACCAAGCCCCCCAAAAATTTTGAGTCATTCCTGATTATTATTAAACACTTGAATTTGGCTCCTGTAGGATCCAGGTGTAAATGACTCTTCTCTAAATCACACTGCTTTACTGTCCTTGGGGTAGCTGATGCTGATTTAGGGTCTGCTTTGTTATTTTAGAACACATAAAATTACAGCTGAAAATCCAAATGCTGTCCGTGGTCTTTAGCTCCATCGAATGCCCAGTGTGACAGCAGAGGAACAGGCCAAAACACCTGTGTTGTATCCAAGACCCCAGGGTTTATTCTGGGCTAAAAGGGAGCACTTTCAGCACTGAAAAATCGGTGTGACCAGAGCTGGTCACAGTCCTGCACTCAAATAATGCGATACCCCAACGCCGCGCTTGCAACAACCGTCCGGCTGCTTTCCCAATTCTTTACTTAGTTTGGATCCTTCAACTTGTCAAGTGGATGAAAAAAATAAAAAAAAAAAGCCCAACAAGTACATTTCTTACTTGTTTTCCTGAATGCAGCTTGAAAACAAAGCTGGTTGGATCCACAGCAGAAGTACCGGAGCAGAGCCAAGCAGGGCTTTGTCACACCCCGGGCAGGAGCCACGGAGCTCTCCTGGAGTGGCTGAGCTTGTGCCCAGCCCTGCATCCTCCAGGCAGGGGAACCCCGCTGAGTATGGGGGTCCTTCCCGTGGGAGGGCTCCCAGGACAAGGTGGGAAGAGAGGAGGAGGATGAGGAGGAAAACGTCCTCCCAGCGGCGCCGGGCAAAGCCGCGCGCCCGAGCTGAGGGGCTCGGGCAGACCTTTGTCACAAGCGCTTCGTGTCGCCCAACTGATCCCACTAATTACTGATTAATAACAGGTTAATGAAACAGAGCTCATTATCATTTCTAAGAGCGGTTTGGTTCACAAGCGAGCCCAGGGCAGCGCTTTCTCAGAGTGAAACCGTGAGCCAGTCAATCACAGCACGCTTGGGAAATGTCAGATGAGTGACTCGGGGGCTACAGATGAGATTTGGGAATTCAAATAAAATTTGGCAATGTTTTGGCTGGAAAAATATCTGAGAATTAGCAAAAAAAAAAGTCCCAGAATTTCCCTCCATTTAATTGCCTTTAAAAAGGCTTCACCTTGACATTTCCATCGTGTTTCACACTTACACTTTCAAAACAATTATTCAGCTCTTAATTTCTGAGCAGTGATTTTTCCTTTACAAATCAACTTGACCGTATTCAAAAGGGTTAAACAACCTGAAACCAAACCCAAACATTTTGTTTCATGTTAAACAAAATGTTTGGACTTGACCCAAAATGAAACGTTTGAGTGTTTGTTTGGCCTCTATTTTTTTTTTCCCTTTCTTTTTTGGTAACCTAAAAAGCCAGAGAGGAAAACCTTTTGAGTCAACACCAGCCCTTTTTCTTTGATTCTGTCACCAAAATGAAATAAAACAAACATTAATTGTCCAGTCTTCAACAGGACTTTACTTACAAACAAAACCAAATCACCGACCCAGCACAGGAGTGCTTTCTAATACTGGAAAACCAGTTTATAGCCCTGGCTCCACAATCCTTCTCCACCAAAGTAATGGAAAGGTGTTTTTCTTGCACAAAATTAGCCCCACAAAGCCTGGCTGCCAGTGCTGCCCAAGAAAGAGCCATTTCCCCATTCAGCCTCACATACAGGCCAGGGGCAAAGCCTGTTCCTCTTCCCAGGGATTCCCAGACCAGCTCACCCATTTTGTCAACCTCCAAACCAGGTAAATACACTCCACATCCTCAGAGAAATATGCCAAGAATTTATACAGAAGGATTATAAACCTGGCTCCCTGCAGAAATCACGTCCTGGTCAGCATCTCCCTGCACACCAGGCTCTGCACCCCCCACACCTTTTGGGGTGCTTTTGCTGGGTCCCCAGGGCTGGTGGCTTTCCCCAGGTCCCCAGCCCATGGATGGGACCGGCTGTTCCCTGGTGAGGACTGGGTGAGCCCCGGCAGGTGGGATGGGCAGGGAGGGAGCCCTGGGGTGTCTCTCCCACAGCTGGGAGCTGAGTGGGAAGCAAAGCCCAGCCCAGGGCCCCGGCGAGCTGCAGGGCTGAGCGGCCCCAGGGATGCGGGAACAGCCCGAGAGTGAGCCTGCCCCGGTTGGGACACCAGAACTGGGGGTTCAGCCCCCCAGCACGGCTGCAGTCGCTGTCTCCTGGCTCCCCTACCCGCTCCCTCTCCAAGTACAAAGGCCTCTCTCAGAGCAAACACGAGCTCTTTGCAAAGGCTCCTCAGGGACATGTGCCCGCTCTTGTTTGCACCCAAGGCAAACTTTGCACAGAAACACCTGTGGGAGCACAGTGATCCCGGGGCCCGGCCCGCTCAGCGCCCCCGGCCACCGCGGCCACCCCGGGCATGGATGTGGCCACCAAGGAGGGCACCGGGGCCAGGTGGGAGCCGCCAGGGCTGAGGGGCTCCGTGCCAAGCAGGACGGGTGGGAACCCATCGGGAGAGGCCTGTGATGGATCCTCCCTCGCACGGAGCCCCTTTGGCACCCGGAGGGTCCCAGCCTGGGCTGGCACGGGTGACACTGCCCCGTCCCCAAAGAGGACCGGCTGGTGCCGGGACAGGACCGGAGCCGCCGGGATCCCGGGGTGTCGAGGGGAAGATTCGGGGCTGTCCCCGGGCTCTGCAGGCTGCCAGAGGGCACGGGCACACGGACGGAGCCCGAGGTGCCCCCGCCGCACTCGGGGACTCCCACCGGCTCCCACCGGCGCCGCTTCCCCGGGGCTCCGCAGCGCGGCCGGTGCCGCCCGCGCCCCCACGGGCCGGGGCAGCGCTGCCCGCCGAGCCCGGGGCTGCCCCGTTCAGCCCGGCCCGGCTCGGTTCGGAGCGGAGCCGCATCTCGGGATGGGCCGGAGCGGAGCCGCCGCCGTCGGGGGTTCCCTCCTCCTTCCCCGCTCCCGTCCGCTTTACAACCCCGGCAATGAATAACCCTCCGGCCCGATCGCCCTGATCGCGGCCCTTTGTGTATCTTTCTGTTGATGATTTATAGAAATAAATTAATAACGCCCCGGGCTCCACGTGGTGCGGTTTATGTTTGGAGCCGCCGGCGCGGAGGGACGGAGCCGGCGGCCGGTCCGAGTCCCCACGGCCCCGGCACCCCCGGCCCCGCCGCGACCGGAGCCGGGCAGCCCCGACGGGGCGGTGGAGGTGGCCGAGGGCCCCGGCTTCCCCCTGCCCGCTGCCCTCCGCCGCTGGGTCCCGGCAGCGCCGGGCAAGGGAGCGCCGGGAGCCGCCACCGGCCGGGACGCAGCGAGCGGGGAGCGCCGGCACCGACCGCGGGGCGGGCAGGGAGCGCCGGGACTCCTCACCGGCTTCGACACACCGGGAACGACCCCCGGGCGAGGCGCTCGGGGCCGGGCCCGTCGGTCCGAGCGCCTGCGGGCGGCTCCCGGCGCGGCGCGGGGTGCGCCCGGTGCCGGTACCTGATCATCCTCTCCACCTCTGCCCGCTGCTCCACGGCCTCCTCCGTGTTGAGCGACTGCAGCTCGCGGAGGATCTGCGGCGTGTCAAAGTCGTCGCCGTCCTCGGAGCCCTCGTCGCCCGAGAGCTTGCCCTTGCCGTGCCCGTTGGCCAGCGGCGGGAGGGCGGCCCTGCCGTCGGGGGGCCCGCCGGGAGACAGCGGAAGGCTCTCCAGCTTGACGCCGAAGCCGGCGGCGGGCACCATGTCCTCCAGGGCGCGGATCAGCCCCTCCTTGGTGGCCCCGGAGCTGAGCAGGGCGCCCAGCAGCTCCCGTTGCAGGGCGCTCAGCTGGGACACCATCCTCCCGGG